TGGGGGCGGTACCTTCGGAGGAGGGGCTCTGGCTCCCAGCACAGGAGGATCCCGTCCGGGAAAGAATCGGACGGGTGCTAGAGGTCGCTGGTAGTGGGTAGAGGCCTGGCAGAGCTACAGCTGCACCGAGCGCTGCTGGAGATCTGACGTGATTGTCTCTGAGCTTGAAGCATTGATGTTTCAAAGACAGTACCAGGGATGTCAGGGCATAGTCAACTTACACGATTAACTGATACGCCTAGGTTTATTGCTTAATCTTGTTGACTACATGCATTCCCCCCCATCCCCCGCCAGCTTGCTGCCTCTATCAGAGGCAGCAGCACAGAGTAGTAGGCAGCCGATATGCATGGGGAGCCAGTTTTGAAACTGGCTCCCGTCACGGACTGGCTCCAACCTACTACCCTGCACTGCTTCCTCTGATAGAGGGACTGCAGCACAGAGTGTCCGGGGACTCCCCAGGAGTGGGAGTGCACTGGCGGCCATCCCCAGCCCTGGGGACTGTCAAATAGTCATGTAACCACTAACATGTCATGCAGTTATACAACTATTCAATTACACGTTATCTAACATGCCTATCAGCGAGGGAACCAAGTGCCAGTCTGAGTGGCCTTTGGTTTTAGATACATCTTGCCAAGAGGCATGAGATGCCTGTGAGAAAGGGGCTTCTTGATGCTGCTTAACTGACAGTTTCTCAGGTGGTACCAAACCTTTGGTACTGGCATGAACCGGAGTCACAGTTGGACCCATTATCTGACGTCTTCCAAGGGTTGATTCAATTAGATGACCTATCCCTCTTTCTAGATTCTCTAGTAGAGAAGATGGGCTTCTTCCTAGAGATAGAAGCCAGGAGATTAGTGTACCATCTGTACACCATCAGATAACATGAGCAGTGAATTATTAGCTTTCCAGTGATATATGCCCCAAAGTAGGGATGTTAGCTAGCAGGTAATTGAATAGTTGTGTAACCACATGAAATCTTAGTTACATGACTATTCGATAGTCCCTGGGGGCACGGCCAGCAGCCAGAGCACTCCTGACCCCACACCCAGGGAGCCCCCTACCACTTAGTGCTGCTGCCTCTACGTCAGAGGCAGCAGCATGGGGGAGCAAGGGGAACCAGTCCACGAGGGGAGCCAGTTTAAAAACCAGCTCCCTGCACAGACCAGCTGCCTAATGCCCCACACAGTTGCCTCTGACACAGAGGCAGCAGGACAGCAGGGGAGCAGCAGCGGGGGGGGGGTCCGAGATCCCCACAGACAGCAGCAGCCTCTGTTTGTGGGGCAATCGGGCCCAGCAGGGACAGAGACTGTTTTGCAACAGCCTCCCCTGCCCCTTCCCCCACTGCTACCTCTGATAGAGGCAGCAGCACGAGGTGGGGGGCAGGCAGCACCATGGACCTGGTGCTGAGGGAAACCAGCTTTTAGCCAGCTCCCTCCCCCTTGCTACCTCTGATATAGCCTAGGGCTTATCCATTGATTATATAGTCGACAATAGTGTCTGGCTGGTGAGTCTTGCCCACATGCTCAGGGTTTAGCTGATCGCCATATTTGGGGTTGGGAAGGAATTTTTCTCCAGAGTAGATTGGCAGAGACCCTGGAGGGGTTTTTTTGCCTTCCTCTGTAGCATGGGGCACAGATCACAGCTGGAGGATTTCCTGCATCTTGGGGCCTTCAAAGTATTTGAAGGCTTCAATATCTGAGACATAGGTGAGAGGATTATTTTAAGAGGGGTGGGTGAGATTCTGTGGCCTGCACTATGCAGGGAGTCAGACTAGATGATCATAATGGTCCCTTCTGACCTTAAAGTCTATGAGCATGACAACTGTGTGCCAATTGGCATTGGGATGCTCTTCAGACCACAGCAGCAGGGAACATAATTGCTCTCTCTCAGCCACAGGCAGTCAAAAAGAATTGGAGGAGCAGAAGGGTCACACTTCTTATATGTTCTCACATGCGTGCTTTGGAGGATAGGGTTAAAATTCAAAACCATCTAGAGTAAGTTGAGAAATAGGGTGAAGTAAGATGAAACACAGTAAGAACAAATGCAAATACTCCATTTAGAAAGAACAAATCAGTAGCACGCATGCAAAATGGGAAATGATGGCCTATGGAAAAGTACTGCAGAAAGGGATCTGGGGGTCAGGGTGGACTACAAGTTAAGTATGACTCAACCATGTGACACTGGCTACATCGAGACTTCACTGGGAAATCGGTACGCAAGAGGCTTTTCTGAAATTTGGCATGTCTACACTGTGAAAAGTTTTGGAAAACAATGCTCTTTCAACATCCCTAATTCCTTGTAAAACAAGGTTTACAGGGATGGTGAAAGTGTGTCGGCTTTCTTGAAAAAAAATAAATTCTGGTATCCCAGAAAAGCAATGCAGTCTAGATGTAGCCATTGCTGCTTAAAAAATGTCTGGAATATATTAG